GGTGGATCTCTTGTAGATGGCAGATCTATGGGTCTTATTTGTGTATCCATTCAACTAATCTGTGTCATTTGGTTGGAGTATTTAATACTTTTACACCTAAGATAGTTATTGATATGTATATTTTTATTACCATATTCTTATTTTGGGTTTCTTAATTGAAGTATAGTTGATTAATAATTAGTTTCAAAAGTACAACATAGAGATTCGATATTTTTATAGATTGTTATCCATTAAAGTTATTATAAAATAACAGGTGTATTTTCCCGTGCTGTACAGTATATCGTTGGTGTTTATTTCATACACAGTATCAGTAGTTTGTGCCTCTTAATCCCATACCCCCATCTTGCTTCCCTACCCACCCATCTTCTCCCTGCTGGTAACCACTAGTTCACTGTCTATATTGGTAAGTCTGTTTCTGGTTTGTCATATACATTGGCTTTATTTCTTAGATTTCACATGTAAATGATAGCCCAGAATATCTGCCTTTCTCTGACGTATTTCACTGATCATAATTCTAGGTCCATCCATACTCTTGCAAATGGCAGAATCTTATTCTTTTTTATAGTTGAGTAATATTCCATTATATATATGTACACCACATGCTCTTTATCTATTCATTTGTTAATGGGCACTTACATTGCTTCCATATCTTGGCAATTATAAATGATGCACCTATGAACAGTGGGGTGCATGTACATTTCTTAACAAGTATTTTCATTTTCTTTGGTTATCTACCTAGCAAGAAAATTGCTGGATCTTACAGTATTTCTATTTTTAGCTTTTAAAGGAAACATACTGTTCTCCATGGTGGCTGCACCAATTTACAGTCCCACCAACAGTGTATGATGCTCCCCTCTTCTGCATGTTAGCACCAACATTTGTTATTTGTAAACTTTTAATGATAGCCACTTTGACAGGTGTGAGGTGATATTTCATTGTGGTTTTCATTTGCATTTCTGTAAAGTTTAGCAATGTTGAGCACTTTTTAAATGTGCCTGTTGGCCGTCTTTATATCTTCTTTGAGAAACGTCTATTTGTCTCTTTTGCCCACTTTTTAATTGGGTTCTTTTTTTCAATATTGAGTTATGTGAGCTGTCTATAAATTTTGAATATTGATGACTTACAAGTCACATCATTTGCAAAATTTTTTTTCCATTCAGTTGGTGGATTTTTCAGTTGGTTGCTTTATTTTGCTGTGCAAATACTTTTAACTTTAGGTCCCATTTGTTTACTTTTCCTTTTATTTCTCTTGCCTTAGGAGAAGGATCCAAAAAAATATTGCTATAACTTATGTCAATAGGGTGTTCTGCCTATTTTTTTTTTTGAGTGTTATGGTTTCAGATCTTACATTTAGGACTTTAATCCATTTTGAGTTTATTGTTGTATATGATATGAAAAATGGGCTTCCCTGGTGGCTCAGAGGGTAAAGCATCTGCCTGTGATGCAGGAGACCCAGGTTCGATCCCTGGGTCGGGAAGATCCCCTGGAGAAGGAAATGGCAACCCACTCCAGTATTCTTGCTTGGAGAATCCCATGGACAGAGGAGCCAGGTGGGCTACAGTCCACGGGGTCGCAGAGAGTCGGACATGACTGAGCGACTACACTTAATGATATGAAAAAATATTCTAATCTCATTTTTTCCCTGTAGCTGTCCAGTTTTCCCAGCATTACTTATTAGAAGAGGCTGTCTTTTCTCCATTGCTTTTTGTTACCTCATTTCTCATAGATTAATTGACTGTAGTGTGTGGGTTTATTTCTGGACTCTCTAGTCTGTTCCATTGATATGTTTTTGTACCAGTACTGCACTGTTTTAATTACTGTTCATTACAGTATAGTCTGATATCAGAAAGCATGATGCCTCCAACTTTGTTCTGTTTTCTCAAGATTGGTTTACCTGTTTGGAGTTTTGTGGTTCTATATAAATTAGGGATTTTTGTTCTAGTTCTGTGAAGAATTTCATGGGTATTTTGATAGCGATTGCATTAAATCTGTAGTTTGCTTTGGGTAGTATGACCATTTTAACAATATTAATTCTGATCCAAGAACATAAAATATCTTTCCATTTCTCTGTATGATTTTCAAATTTCTTTAGCAATGTTTTGTAGGTTTCAGAATATAGTTCTTTCACCTCATTGGTTAAGTTTATTTCTAGATATTTTATTCTTTTTGATGAAATTGTTAAGGAATTGTTTCCTTAATTTCTCTTGCTGATAGCTTATTATAAATGCACAGAAAAGCAACGGATATGAATCTTGTATCCTGCAACTTTACTAAATTCATTTATTCTAATAGGGATTTTTTGGGTGGAGCTTTAGTATGTTCTATGTGTAGCAACATGCAATCTGCAAACAGTGGCAGTTTTACTTCTTCCCCTTCAATTTGGATTCCTTTTATTTCTTTTTACTATCTGATTGCTGTGGTGAAAACTGCCAATGCTTTTAACTATGTTAACTAGAAGTGATGAGAGTGGACATCTTTTGTGTTGTTCCTGATCTTAGAGGAAATGCTTTCAAGCTTTTCACCACTGGGTATGATGTTCGCTGTGGATTTGTCATGTATGGCCTTTGCTATGTTGAAGTGTCTTCCCTCTATACCTGCTTTAATGAGAGCTTTTATCACCAGTGGATATATGATCCTTTTTAACTGTTGTCAAATTTGGCTTTGTTAAGGATATCTGTATCTATTTTCATCAGAGATATTGGCCTACAATTTTCTTTTTTTTAAATGTCTTTCTCTGATTTTGGTGTCACAGTAATGGTGGACTTGTAAGTTTGAGATTGTTACATTCTCTTCAACTTTTTGGAACAGCTTGGGAAAGACAGCTCTTCTTTATATGCTTGATAGAATTTCCCTGTAAAACTATCTGGTCCTGGACTTTTGTATGCTGTGAACTTTTAAAATTACATATTCAATTTTACTATTTGGGAAATAGGTTGTTTATTTCTGATTCAGTCTCAGAGGTTGTATATTTCTAGAAATTTGTCCATTTCTTCTAGGTTGTCCAATTTGTTGGCATATAACTGTTCACAGTATTGTCTTAAAATTCTTTGCATCTCTGTGGAATTGGTTGCTGTTTTTCTTCTTTCATTTCTTATTTTGTTAATTTGAATTCTCTCTCTTCTCAATGAGCCTGGCTAAAGTTTTATCAACTTTATTGTCTTTTTAAAGATCTAGCTCCTGTTTTACTGATATTTTCTATTTTTTGTGTCTATTTCCTCTCTCATCTTTATTATTTCCTTCATACTGCTAACTGGGTCTGTTAGTTCTTTTTTAAATCCTTTATGATGGAAAGTTAGTTTGCTTATTTGATATTTATCTTGCTTCCTGAAGTCTGCCTGCATCACTGTAAACTTATCTCTTAGAACTGCTTTTGCTGTATCCCACAGATTTTGGAAAGTTACATTTCTATTTTCATTGTCTAAAGGTATTTTCATATATTTCAAACATTTCATATTTGGCATATAACTATAATTATTTGTTTTAAACAGGTACACCTTTAAGTTCAAACATTCTAAAAGATCTACATTTTTTTCTTTTTTTTTTCATTTATTTTTATTAGTTGGAGGCTAATTACTTTACAGTATTGTAGTGGGTTTTGTCATACATTGACATGAATCAGCCATGGAGTTACATGTATTCCCCATCCCGATCGCCCCCCTACCTCCCTCTCCACCCGATTCCTCTGGGTCTTCCCAGTGCTACATTTTCTTTACTCCCTTCACACTTTTTTCTTTTTATTGAAGTATAGTTGATTTACAATGTTATGTACAGCAAAATGAGTCAGTTTGTAGAGTATACATATATATCATATATAGGGATTCCCACGTGGCACAGTGGTAAAGAGTCTGCCTCCCAATGCAGGAGACACAAGATAGTATTTATATGTGTGTGTGTATTTCCATAATCTTTTCCATTATGGTTTATTACAGAGTATTGAATATAGCTCTCTGCTTTCTATACCTAGATATTGGTTTCCTTCCTCATGCTCAGATAGTTTCAGCCTGAATCTTATTAAATACATTTTCAACTACATTCTCTCCCTTCTCCTTCTGGGACCCCTGTAATGTAAATGTTTGGACACTTAATGCTATACCAAAGATTCCTTACACTGTTTTCATTTTTTTAAATTTGCTCTTCTTTTTGCTTTTCTCATTGTTTTCTGTCATTCTTTCGGATCACTTTGGTGTTCTTCTGTGTGATCTAGTCTGTTAATTCCTTCCAGTGTGTCTTTATTTTTAGTTATTGTATTCTTCACTGGCAGGTGAATTCTTTTAACACTGTACCACCTAGGAACCCCTAGGTCAGGAAGATCCCCTGGAGTAGAAAATGGCAATCCACTCCAGTCTTCTTGCCTGGAGAACTCCATGGAAAGGGGAGCGTGAAGGGCTACAGTCCATGGGGTCACAAGGAGGTGGACATGACAGAGCATGTCCACACACAAACATTTTATTTTTCAGGTATGACTGGCCCTTTTTTATTTTTTCTAGTTCCATGTTAATATTCTGTTTGTCTATTCTTTTCCTATGTCAGTCAGCATCCCTATTGATACTGCTTTGAAGTTTCCAGTAGACTGTATATTTCTATTTTTCTGTTATTTAAGGTGTTTTCTCTTTCTCTTTCAATAGAGACAAATTCCTCTGTCTTCTCATTTTGCTTTTCTCTCTCTGTCCCTATGAATTTAGGGGCAACTGTTCCCTGCAGTGGCCTTTGAGGGTGTTGTGTGGGAGCGTCCCTGTGCAGATTCTTTATGCCCAATGCCTTTGGTGGGAAACCCAGATCCAACATGAACACAAATCACATCTTCCCTCAGGGTGTGCTGGCAGCTGGCAGCTCGCTAAGAAGGTGAGGCTGGAGCAGGACGGATGAGGGCTGGAGCCAGATTCGAGCTAGGGCTCCTCCTCTGCTCCGTGGCCATCACTGCCCTATAGCGGGCAGGGCAGGTCTCGAGTTCCTGGAGCAGAGAAACACAGAGGGTCTGCTCCTAGCTAACTCTGTTCCCTTTAAGTGCGTGCCCTTCCCCCTTCCAGCAGCACCCTCAGCTCCAGAGAGGAGCAGGGCTGAGCAGGAGGGTCTGGAGTGGGTTCAGCCAGAGCCGGGGCACTGCGTGTGGTGATCCGTCCACTGTTAGCAATCTGGCCTACCTCTGATGCGCTCCGGTAGTGGCGGCCCGCTCCCCGCTCAGGTGCTGCTGAGGGTTTGAGCTGCCACAGCATCTCCTGGCCGAGCTTCTTCCTCGCTGCCGGCAGCCCTCCTGGCTCCAGCGTGGAGCTGAAACGAGAGGCCAACACTGCTGGAGGATTACGCGGCTCAGGCAGGGGTGTGAGTGGGGTGTTGTGGGAAACCCGTCAGCCAGCCATGCGGCTTAAATCCCCCCCTTCTGCCCTCTCTGCTCTGCCTCAGGAGCAAACGCCCCGCAAGTGGACTCTCCAGGGGGGCCCCGACTTCCCTCTGACTCCTCTCTCAGGGTCCCTGGTCCCCAGCCGGTCACTTCTCTTCCCTTCTACACTGACCATGCACGTCTCTCTTGCAGCCTTGACGGTACAGGAGCCTTACTGCCAGTCACCAGTTGGTTTGCGGTGAGAACTGTCCCACATGGAGATGTGCTTTCCTGTATGTAGATGTAATTTTGACATGTTCCTGAGGGTCATGAGTTCTGTGTCCTCTACTCTGCCATCTTGACTGTCTTTGTCCTGTTTAAAAAATCTTTCCACATTCCAAGTTTATAAAAATATTACCCTGTGTTTTATTTTAAAAGCTGTCAGATGCAGTCTATGTGCAGAGGGGAGTGGGCTCAGGTAGTGAGCCAGGGTCATCACTGCCCGCACGGGTGTGTAACTGGCGCAGCCCCGCTGACTATGAACAGCAGTCTCCCCCAGGGAACCTCGGTGGCGTCTTTGTTACGATGCAGGTGAGTGGGTCTCCCCCATTCGGCCCCACTGCCGTGTTAGTCTACACTTGGAACAGGCCCTGTTGGTTTCATCTGGCAGACATGAGTCTTGCTGTGTTCTCATGTAAATTCTCCTGCTCTTACCTACTTTAATGCTAATTTTGCTGCTCTAGGTCCTTTGCCTTTCTATATACGTTTTAGAAATAGCTTGTAAGTTTACATACACACACACACAAATAAGCCACAGAAAACCACCTGTGACTTTCACAGATTGTACTGTACAGAGCGATGTGAAGAGAACTATCTTAACAGTTTTAAGTCTTCTAATTCACACAGTAATAAACTACCATTTATTGAGGTCTTTCATTTTCTTATAATGTTTAATAATTTCCAAGGTAGAGTTCTTATAAATCTTTGTTATACTTAAAGTATTTGATATTTTGAGGTAATTGTGTTATTAGTTTTTAAGTTTCATTTCCATTTATCCATTGTTACTACCTAAAAACACCATTTTTGTATATTGGTCTTATGTTCTGAGACCTTGCTAAATGCACTTATTAGATACAGTAGCTTTCTATAGAATTATCAAGATTTCCTAAGTCTGGATAAAGCCCATTTTACTTTGTTTTGCCTCAAAAAAAACACTAGCTGGCTTTTCCAATACAATGTTGAATAGAGGTGATGAGAACAGGTTGTTTTGTTCCTGATATGAGGGAGAAAGCAATCAGCATTTCAACATTACCTGTGGTATTAGCTGTAGGTTTTTCATAGATGGTCGTTTTAGAAAGTTCAATTCTGTCCCTATTCTTGTGTGTGTGTACAGATCATGAATGGATGTAAATGTTGCTCATCTTTGAGCTCATCATATTTAATTTTTAAAATCCTGTTAATATGATGATTGCATACATTTTTAAATGTTAAATCCACATTGTTGGACTGAAATTTACCAATTTTATTAGGATTCTCCACAGAAACAGAACCAACAGGATAATAAAGGGATATAAATGTATATAGATATGTATGTATATAGTTATGTATATGTGTGTATATATATATATATATATGTATATATATATATATATGGGCTTCTAGCTCAGCTGGTAAAGAATCCACCTGCAATGCAACATACCTGGGTTTGATCCCTGGATTGGGAGGATCCCCTGTAGGAGGGCATGGCAGCCCACTCCAGTATTCTTGCCTGGAGAATCCCATGGGCAGGGGGGCCTGGGGGGCCACAGTCCATGGGGTCGAAAAGAGTGGGACACGATTGAATGACTCAGCACAGTACAGCACATACATGTATATAAAAATATAAAATGTATATATAGGGCTTCCCTGGTGGCTCAGCTGGTAAAGAATCTGCCTGCAATGCAGGAGACCCTGGTGTGATTCCTGGGGTGGGAAGATCCCCTGGAGAACAGAACAGCTACCCTCTCCAGTATCCTGGCCTGGAGAATTCCATGGACTGCATAGTCCATGGGGTTGCAGAGAGTCAGACACGACTGAGTGACTTTCACTTTCACATATATATATGAAATTACATATTTATATATTTATGATATACACAATATTGTTATATATTATATAACATATTATTTATATATTTTACATATACACATATATATACATAAGGAATTAGCTATACAATTCTGTAGTCTGAGAAATCTCACAGCCTACCTTCCAGAGACCCGGGAGAGCTGGTGGTAGTTGTTTTGAGAATCAGAGGGCTGACGTGTGCGGCTCGGTCACGGGCAGGAGCAGATGATGCTGCAGCTCAGTCAGAGAGCATTTATCCCTCCCAGTCTCCTCTGCACCTTTGTTCTGACTGCTCTCAGTGCCCGGGTGATGGGAAGGGGGTCGCTCTGCTCAGTGAAGTTCAAACACTAATCTCTTCTGAAACACCTTGTAAATACACCCAGAAGTAGCATTTAACCTGATAGATGAGCACCTCCTGGCCCAGCTGACACATCACAGTAATCATCACAGCCATTAAATATTGTAATTTTAGGTATGTAATTTTAGATATTGTTGGATGTGATTGGTAAAATTTCAGCTAAAATATTTGTATTCCTGAGAAATCAGTTGTAATCTCCTTTCCCGTAATGTCTAGTTTTTATAGTAAGATAATTATTGTTGCTGTTCAGTCGCTTAGTCATTTCTGACTCTTTGTGACCCCATGGACTACAGCACTCCAGGCTTCCCTGTCCATCACCATCTCCCAAGGTCTGTTAAAATTCATGTCCACTGAGTCAATGATGCCATCCAGTCATCTCATCTCTGTCATCCCCTTTCCTGCCTTCCGTCCCCTTTCCCAGCAGTTTTCCCCTGGTCTTTTCCAATGAGTTGGCTCTTCACATCAGGCGGCCAAAGTACTGGAGCTTCACCTTCAGCATCAGTCCTTCCAATGAATATTAAGGACTGATTTCCTTTAGGAATGACTGGTTTGATCTCCTTGCAGTCCAAGGGACTCTCAAGAGTCTCCTCCAACACCACAGTTTGAAAGCATTAATTTTTCCATGCTCAGCCTTTTTTATGGTCCAATTCTCACATCCATACATGACCACTGGAAAACCATAGCTTTGACTAGACAGACCTTTGTCAGCAAAGTAATGTCTCTGCTTTTTAATATACTGTCTAGGTTGGTCATAACTTTCCTTCCAAGGAGCAAGTGTCTTTTAATTTCATGGCTGCAGTCACCATCTGCAGTGATTTTTTGGAACCCAAGAAAATAAAGTCTCTGTTTCCATTGTTTCCCCATCTGTTTGCCTTGAAGTGATGTGACCGGATGCCATGATCTTAGTTTTTTGAATGTTGGGTGTTAAGCCAGCTTTTTCATTCTTTTCTTTCGCTCTCATCAAAAGTCTCTTTAGTTCCTCTTCTCTTTCTGCCATTAGGGTGGTGTCATCTGTATATCTGAGGTTATTGATATTTCTCCCAGCAGTCTTGATTCCAGCTTGTGCTTCATCCAGCCTGGCATTTTGCATGATGTCCCGGCCTTCTTTGATTTTCTGGTAGCATCTGTGTAAAAACGGCATCATTTCATCTTTTAGAAGCATCATAAATTTACTGATAAAGCCTAGAGTTTTCTTTGTTGGAAGAGTTTTAACCATGACTTTGATTTTCCTAACAGATACAGAGCTATTCAGATGATCCAGTCCTTCCTGACTGAACTTTGGTAGTGTGTGTTTTGTTAAAGAAATGTGCCAGTTATTTAAGTTGTTAAATTTATTGTATAAAATTATTTACAACTCCCTTATTACCTTCTTACAGTTTGGGAGATCTGTGGTGATACCACCTCTTTTAATCCTGATAGCAGTTAATCGTGTCTCCTCTTTGTTTCCCTGACCAGTCTGACAAGAGGTTCATTATCATTATTGATCTGAAAGAACCAGTTTTTGTTTTCATTGATTTTCAGTTATTTTTTTTCTTTTTCCTATTTCTTTAATGTGTTCTCTTTTCTTTCCTTCTTCTGTTGAGTTTATTGGATCCTACTTTTCTAGCCTTATGAGGTAGAAACTTATGTCATTGATTTTAGGCATTCAAGCTTACAAAGTTTCCTCTATGTGTTGTTTATTTCACTAAGTCCAAAATATTTTCTAATTTTCATTGTGATCTGTCACTTACTTAGATACTTGTTCCTTAATTTTCAATTATATAGTGATTTTCTAAGTAACATTCTATCATTAATTTCTAGTTTAGTTTCATTGTGGTCTCAGGGTAAACTCTGCCTGCTTTCAATTTTTTAACTTACTGGAAAAATTTTGATGGTCCAGAATTTGATCTATTTTGTAACTATTCCATATGTATTTCAAAAGAATCTGTGCCTTGTTTGGGTGGTAGAACCATGTAAATCTTGATTAGGTAAGTTTGGTTGATAGTGGTTTGTCAATTCTTTTACATATACTTAATAGATTTTTTGTTTTGCCAACTTCTCGTAACTATTACTATAGAGGAATACCAAAGTTTTCTACTATAATTGTGGGTTTTAAAATTTTCTTTCTTAGTTTTATCAGTTTTCATGTGTGTTGAAGCTTTGTTACTAACTTCATCTACATAAAAATAGCTATATCTTCTTGATGAATTGATACTTCTCTTATAAAATATCCCCCTTTAATCTTTTCAAAATAGACTTAGTCATTCCATTGTCTTTTCTTCCATTCATTAAAATTCATTCTACAGTAAAATTCACACATTTTATTGTACAGCTCCATTATTTTTGACAAGCACAAATAACTGTGTCATCTCCACTAAAACCAGAGTCTAGAATAGCTCCATCACCTCCCAAAACGTTTCCATGGCTTTCACAGCCACTTCTTCCTTCCAACAGCTCCTGCGACAACTGGCCAGCTTCTGTCCCTAAAAAAATCTGTCTTTTCCATAATGCCCCACACCTGGAATCT